AACTTTCCTTGCCTCGTTGGCGAGTTGTAGCTTGATGCTGAGAATGGCAAGACGCCCTGACGATGCTGGTGAAACGTCTGGGAATGCACCAAGTCCACGGTCCAATGCTGGGAATTATCATAACTGCCACAGCAGAAGACTTCGGACATGGTGAGTCAAACTGGGTCGCCCTGACAACATGAGTAAATTGAGAAAACGAGGTCAGACCACTTTTATGCATCGAAAGAAGACTGCGACCAAAATAGAGGCAACAGCATCTTAGTCTTCATATTTATCATGATTACCATTTACATGTACTTTTTTCAATATTGAGTGGGTCCAACCAGCAAATGAAAGCCTTCCGCCCTCGGTACTTGGCTCTACACATCCCCACTCAAGGCTTCTCCAAACTGGTTTTCCATTGCTTCTCACACGATAGCTCGAGCCGACCATTGCGCCTTAGTCAAGGCTCTGTTGCTATCCTGGACCCAATCCACCTGCTGTAGTCTCGCTGTACACTTAATCCAAATCCTGACGCCCATACCAGCCCATGTAGGACTCCATTTCGGTCTCTAAGCCAGTTCTGCAGTCTTCTGCCTGCCTTGGCCTAAACAAGTTCGGCTGAGGGGACTCTTTTCGGGCCTTTGGGGCCCAAACAATCTTCTTCCCTGGTCCGCTCAGGTAGCCCCTCTAACGCATACTCCATCCTGTCTCTGCTCCTCCCTTTCCTTGGCCAGTTCGCATGAACTCATGCTTTTCGTTAGTCAACAAGTTCCCTTTTGGCTCCTTTGTCTCTTCATACTTGCCCAAGCGCAGTAGCCCCTTTGGAGCCAGTTTTATTCAGTTCTTCAATCCACCAACAGCGCCCACTTCAACGTCGGGGAGCCTTCACCTAAACTGCTCCAAAGTCGGTCTTCATTTGGACTGGTGAATTACCGGTAAACAAGTGGCCCCTGGTGCGTGTCGGTGCACAAGCAAGGACGAGCGAAAAGGTGACAGAACATGCATGAAGAGGAGGAGAGAATAGGCGAAGGAGCTGGGAAATGCGGACAAGAAGACAGGCGACCAGAAGAGGTTTCTCCACTTTGTCCATCCTCGTCCGAAGCAGCTGTCTATCTGTCTGAGCAAAAGGAGCTGAGCAGGTGAAAGATGAACACGACCCGGTAACCCGGTAACCCGGTAGCCCAGTAACCCGGGGACTTGACACCCTGGTGACTGAGCCGACTTCGACTGGAGGCCACCATTGGAGGAGCTATGCTTGTGGGGCTCATTTTGCACTTTTACACTTTTTCTCTGTGCTCTCTGAATGCAGTATTGTATCTCTCCAGGGAACCCTGCGAATACGAGCTATACTCTAAATATCATGTTACTATTGACAGAAGAAGAAGAAAAGGAAAGAATTTGCAAAAATTATGCAAAGTTTACAGAAATACTCAACATTCAAAGCTGCCAGATTATATGAAATTCATATTTTTGTGGTCTATTCTTCGTTTTAAAAGCTGGATAAAAAGGATACCTACAGCGGCCTCATCAAAAG